TGTTGTATGCTTTAGGAGGGGGTGGCTCTGTGTTGTATGCTTTAGGAGGGGGTGGCTCTGTGTTGTATGCTTTAGGAGGGGGTGGCTCTGTGTTGTATGCTTTAGGAGGGGGTGGCTCTGTGTTGTATGCTTTAGGAGGGGGTGGCTCTGTGTTGTATGCTTTAGGAGGGGGTGGCTCTGTGTTGTATGCTTTAGGAGGGGGTGGCTCTGTGTTGTATGCTTTAGGAGGGGGTGGCTCTGTGTTGTATGCTTTAGGAGGGGGTGGCTCTGTGTTGTATGCTTTAGGAGGGGGTGGCTCTGTGTTGTATGCTTTAGGAGGGGGTGGCTCTGTGTTGTATGCTTTAGGAGGGGGTGGCTCTGTGTTGTATGCTTTAGGAGGGGGTGGCTCTGTGTTGTATGCTTTAGGAGGGGGTGGCTCTGTGTTGTATGCTTTAGGAGGGGGTGGCTCTGTGTTGTATGCTTTAGGAGGGGGTGGCTCTGTGTTGTATGCTTTAGGAGGGGGTGGCTCTGTGTTGTATGCTTTAGGAGGGGGTGGCTCTGTGTTGTATGCTTTAGGAGGGGGTGGCTCTGTGTTGTATGCTTTAGGAGGGGGTGGCTCTGTGTTGTATGCTTTAGGAGGGGGTGGCTCTGTGTTGTATGCTTTAGGAGGGGGTGGCTCTGTGTTGTATGCTTTAGGAGGGGGTGGCTCTGTGTTGTATGCTTTAGGAGGGGGTGGCTCTGTGTTGTATGCTTTAGGAGGGGGTGGCTCTGTGTTGTATGCTTTAGGAGGGGGTGGCTCTGTGTTGTATGCTTTAGGAGGGGGTGGCTCTGTGTTGTATGCTTTAGGAGGGGGTGGCTCTGTGTTGTATGCTTTAGGAGGGGGTGGCTCTGTGTTGTATGCTTTAGGAGGGGGTGGCTCTGTGTTGTATGCTTTAGGAGGGGGTGGCTCTGTGTTGTATGCTTTAGGAGGGGGTGGCTCTGTGTTGTATGCTTTAGGAGGGGGTGGCTCTGTGTTGTATGCTTTAGGAGGGGGTGGCTCTGTGTTGTATGCTTTAGGAGGGGGTGGCTCTGTGTTGTATGCTTTAGGAGGGGGTGGCTCTGTGTTGTATGCTTTAGGAGGGGGTGGCTCTGTGTTGTATGCTTTAGGAGGGGGTGGCTCTGTGTTGTATGCTTTAGGAGGGGGTGGCTCTGTGTTGTATGCTTTAGGAGGGGGTGGCTCTGTGTTGTATGCTTTAGGAGGGGGTGGCTCTGTGTTGTATGCTTTAGGAGGGGGTGGCTCTGTGTTGTATGCTTTAGGAGGGGGTGGCTCTGTGTTGTATGCTTTAGGAGGGGGTGGCTCTGTGTTGTATGCTTTAGGAGGGGGTGGCTCTGTGTTGTATGCTTTAGGAGGGGGTGGCTCTGTGTTGTATGCTTTAGGAGGGGGTGGCTCTGTGTTGTATGCTTTAGGAGGGGGTGGCTCTGTGTTGTATGCTTTAGGAGGGGGTGGCTCTGTGTTGTATGCTTTAGGAGGGGGTGGCTTTGTGTTGTATTAAGTAGGGCTGTTTTGTGTTATATAGTGTCTCAGTGTTGTATTATTTAGGGAGGGGTTGTATTATATATATATATATGGGCTGTGTTGCACTATGTAGGGCTTGTGTTGTATTATTTAGGGATTCTGTTGTATTATGTATGGGCTGAATGTGCTTGTGTGAGCTGGGAGCTCCAGCAACTATCAAGGGAACAACCCTGTAGTTCCTGCCCTCGTTTGTTTTAGTAGTTGGCAGCAATTTGGGCAGCAGTAGAAACCCACAGGAACTTTCCATTTACATTTCAATTCGTTTTAGGCCAATTCCCACCAGGGCCCTCAGAACATGACACCAACCCTTCCCACTCTTCCTTAACACAGCATGTTTACATCTGTTCCAGCACCGCGGAGCAATGATTAGTTCCAGCACCGCAGAGCAATGATTAGTTCCAGCACCGCGGAGCAATGATTAGTTCCAGCACCGCGGAGCAATGATTAGTTCCAGCACCGCGGAGCAATGATTAGTTCCAGCACCGCGGAGCAATGATTAGTTCCAGCACCGCGGAGCAATGATTAGTTCCAGCACCGCGGAGCAATGATTAGTTCCAGCACCGCGGAGCAATGATTAGTTCCAGCACCGCGGAGCAATGATTAGTTCCAGCACCGCGGAGCAATGATTAGTTCCAGCACCGCGGAGCAATGATTAGTTCCAGCACCGCGGAGCAATGATTAGTTCCAGCACCGCGGAGCAATGATTAGTTCCAGCACCGCGGAGCAATGATTAGTTCCAGCACCGCGGAGCAATGATTAGTTCCAGCACCGCGGAGCAATGATTAGTTCCAGCACCGCGGAGCAATGATTAGTTCCAGCACCGCGGAGCAATGATTAGTTCCAGCACCGCGGAGCAGTGATTAGTTCCAGCACCGCGGGGCAATGATTAGTTCCAGCACCGCGGAGCAGTGATTAGTTCCAGCACCGCGGAGCATTGATTAGTTCCAGCACCGCGGAGCAATGATTAGTTCCAGCACCGCGGAGCAATGATTAGTTCCAGCACCGCGGAGCAATGATTAGTTCCAGCACCGCGGAGCAATGATTAGTTCCAGCACCGCGGGGCAATGATTAGTTCCAGCACCAGTAAAGGGCGTTCAAATAATCTGCAATATGGCCGGCTAACCCCAGAGCCCTATTGTTGCTGTTATAAACATTAATGTTAGGATGCCCGGCCGGCGCAGCCCTGGCCTCTGCCCTCATGTGTGGCTGGCCACTGTCATGTCTGAGGGCCACTAACATGTGTCACTCACTCCCCCTGAGTGCCACACTCAGGCTACAGTGGCCCAACTGAGGGACCTGTGCCACCAGTCACCCCTGAAGCACCTCCTACACCCACACCTATTGTAAACAGGAGGGTAGGATACCCTCCCTTATTTCTTACGGGCTTACTCCCCGGGCATGGCACTGGCCGAGGAGACAGTGCCATGGGCCAGTTCCTTGGCCCCATGGCAGTGTGCCTGGCACGTCCTCGGCCGGTGCCGGGACAGGGCACCGCACGCGTCTGCTGCCTCTGCTGGGGCCCACGCCAAGGGTCCCCCCCTCTGCTGGGGGCCCCACACCAAGGGTCCCCCGCCTCTGCTGGGGCCCACGCCAAGGGTCCCCCGCCTCTGCTGGGGCCCACGCCAAGGGTCCCCGCCTCTGCTGGGGCCCACGCCAAGGGTCCCCCGCCTCTGCTGGGGCCCACGCCAAGGGTCCCCCGCCTCTGCTGGGGCCCACGCCAAGGGTCCGCCTCGTACACTCATCTTACAACTTCTCAAGGAAAAACGTCATAATAACCTCCTTGAGGTTAACTAGGCTGCTCCTTGTGGCGGCGCGAGGTCCCTGCTGCTCCTTGTGGCGGCGCGAGGTCCCTGCCGCTCCTTGTGGCGGCGCGAGGTCCCTCCCGCTCCTTGTGGGGGCGCGAGGTCCCTCCCGCTCCTTGTGGGGGCGCGAGGTCCCTCCCGCTCTTTGTGGCGGCGCGAGGTCCCTCCCGCTCCTTGTGGGGGCGCGAGGTCCCTCCCGCTCCTTGTGGCGGCGCGAGGTCCCTGCTGCTCCTTGTGGCGGCGCGAGGTCCCTGCCGCTCCTTGTGGCGGCGCGAGGTCCCTCCCGCTCCTTGTGGCGGCGCGAGGTCCCTCCCGCTCTTTGTGGCGGCGCGAGGTCCCTCCCGCTCCTTGTGGCGGCGCGAGGTCCCTGCTGCTCCTTGTGACGGCGCGAGGTCCCTCCCGCTCCTTGTGGCGGCGCGAGGTCCCTGCCGCTCCTTGTGGCGGCGCGAGGTCCCTCCCGCTCCTTGTGGCGGCGCGAGGTCCCTCCCGCTCCTTGTGGCGGCGCGAGGTCCCTGCCGCTCCTTGTGGGGGCGCGAGGTCCCTCCCGCTCCTTGTGGCGGCGCGAGGTCCCTCCCGCTCCTTGTGGGGGCGCGAGGTCCCTCCCGCTCCTTGTGGGGGCGCGAGGTCCCTCCCGCTCCTTGTGGCGGCGCGAGGTCCCTCCCGCTCCTTGTGGGGGCGCGAGGTCCCTCCCGCTCCTTGTGGCGGCGCGAGGTCCCTCCCGCTCCTTGTGGCGGCGCGAGGGTCCCTCCCACTCCTTGTGGCGGCGCGAGGTCCCTGCTGCTCCTTGTGGGGGCGCGAGGTCCCTCCCGCTCCTTGTGGCGGCGCGAGGTCCCTCCCGCTCCTTGTGGCGGCGCGAGGTCCCTGCCGCTCCTTGTGGGGGCGCGAGGTCCCTCCCGCTCCTTGTGGCGGCGCGAGGTCCCTCCCGCTCCTTGTGGCGGCGCGAGGTCCCTGCCGCTCCTTGTGGGGGCGCGAGGTCCCTCCCGCTCCTTGTGGCGGCGCGAGGTCCCTCCCGCTCCTTGTGGGGGCGCGAGGTCCCTCCCGCTCCTTGTGGCGGCGCGAGGTCCCTTCCGCTCCTTGTGGCGGCGCGAGGTCCCTCCCGCTCCTTGTGGCGGCGCGAGGTCCCTGCTGCTCCTTGTGGGGGCGCGAGGTCCCTGCCGCTCCTTGTGGCGGCGCGAGGTCCCTTCCGCTCCTTGTGGCGGCGCGAGGTCCCTCCCGCTCCTTGTGGCGGCGCGAGGTCCCTGCTGCTCCTTGTGGGGGCGCGAGGTCCCTGCTGCTCCTTGTGGCGGCGCGAGGTCCCTTCCGCTCCTTGTGGCGGCGCGAGGTCCCTGCCGCTCCTTGTGGCGGCGCGAGGTCCCTGCCGCTCCTTGTGGCGGCGCGAGGTCCCTGCCGCTCCTTGTGGGGGCGAGGTCCCTCCCGCTCCTTGTAGCGGCGCGAGGTCCCTGCTGCTCCTTGTGGCGGCGCTAGGTCCCTGCTGCTCCTTGTAGCGGCGCGAGGTCCCTGCTGCTCCTTGTGGCGGCGCGAGGTCCCTGCTGCTCCTTGTGGCGGCGCGAGGTCTCTGCTGCTCCTTGTGGCGGCGCGAGGTCCCTGCTGCTCCTTGTGGCGGCGCGAGGTCCCTCCCGCTCCTTGTGGCGGCGCGAGGTCCCTGCCGCTCCTTGTAGCGGCGCGAGGTCCCTGCTGCTCCTTGTGGGGGCGCGAGGTCCCTGCCGCTCCTTGTGGCGGCGCGAGGTCCCTGCTGCTCCTTGTGGCGGCGCGAGGTCCCTGCCGCTTCTTGTAGCGGCGCGAGGTCCCTGCTGCTTCTTGTGGCGGCGCGAGGTCCCTGCCGCTCCTTGTGGCGGCGCGAGGTCCCTGCTGCTCCTTGTGGCGGCGCGAGGTCCCTGCTGCTCCTTGTGGCGGCGCGAGGTCCCTGCCGCAAGGTCACTTGACAGGGGACGAAGGTTACTTGACAAGGACAAAGGTTACTTGACAAGGATCAAGTATACTTGACAGGGGCCAAGGTTACTTGACAGGGGACCAAGGTTACTTGACAGGGGCCAAGGTTACTTGACAGGGGACCAAGGTTACTTGACAGGGGACCAAGGTTACTTGACAGGGGACCAAGGTTACTTGACAGGAGACCAAGGTTACTTGTCAGGGGACCAAGGTTACTTGACAGGGACCAAGATTACTTGACAGGAGACCAAGGTTACTTGTCAGGGGACCAAGGTTACTTAACAGGAGACTAAGGTTACTTGACAGGGACCAAGATTACTTGACAGGGGACCAAGGTTACTTGACAGGAGACCAAGGTTACTTGTCAGGGGACCAAGGTTACTTGACAGGGACCAAGATTACTTGACAGGAGACCAAGGTTACTTGTCAGGGGACCAAGGTTACTTAACAGGAGACTAAGGTTACTTGTCAGGGGACCAAGGTTACTTAACAGGAGACCAAGGTTACTTGACAGGGACCAAGATTACTTGACAGGAGACCAAGGTTACTTGTCAGGGGACCAAGGTTACTTAACAGGAGACTAAGGTTACTTGTCAGGGGACCAAGGTTACTTAACAGGAGACCAAGGTTACTTGACAGGGACCAAGATTACTTGACAGGAGACCAAGGTTACTTGTCAGGGGACCAAGGTTACTTAACAGGAGACTAAGGTTACTTGACAGGAGACCAAGGTTACTTGTCAGGGGACCAAGGTTACTTGACAGGGACCAAGATTACTTGACAGGAGACCAAGGTTACTTGTCAGGGGACCAAGGTTACTTAACAGGAGACTAAGGTTACTTGTCAGGGGACCAAGGTTACTTAACAGGAGACCAAGGTTACTTGACAGGGACCAAGATTACTTGACAGGAGACCAAGGTTACTTGTCAGGGGACCAAGGTTACTTAACAGGAGACTAAGGTTACTTGTCAGGGGACCAAGGTTACTTAACAGGAGACCAAGATTACTAGACAGGAGACCAAGGTTACTTGACAGGAGACCAAGGTTACTTGTCAGGGGACCAAGGTTACTTAACAGGAGACCAAGGTTACTTGACAGGGACCAAGATTACTTGACAGGAGACCAAGGTTACTTGTCAGGGGACCAAGGTTACTTAACAGGAGACTAAGGTTACTTGACAGGGACCAAGATTACTTGACAGGGGACGAAGGCTCCTTGTGGGAAATTTCCCCACCAAATTCTATTTAATATACCTAATTTGTATTAATAAGAGATACACCAAGAAGAGATATCTTCCGTTGTTGTGTAGATTTACAATAATTAAACGGTAGTCAAGACTTAATTGAAAATGGAAGAATTGTATCGAATTTGTGTCTGTTCTTGAACACTTTTCGCGTACTGTCTGAGGACCAGTTTATGCATAAATTAATCCAGTAGATCTGAACTCAATGTTTACTAGTTGTGTTTTTGCGGGGGTTGAGCTTTGCTCCTTCGGCCCGCCTCTCAACTGTCAATCAACTGTTTACTAACTACTTTTTTTTTCCCCACACCACACACACCCCAGGAAGCAGCCCGTGACAGCTGACTAACTCCCAGGTACCTATTTACTGCTAGGTAACAGGGGCACTTAGGGTGAAAGAAACTTTGCCCATTTGTTTCTGCCTCGTGCGGGAATCGAACCCACGCCACAGAATTACGAGTCCTGCGCGCTATCCACCAGGCTACGAGATGTATTCCATGGAATGTAAAAATGAATATCCACTCCTTCCCCGGAATTAAGTCAACTCTAAGCGTATAGAAAACGCTTCCTCAGGGGAGGATGATGGCGGCCATATTGGTTACCCGGAGAGGACAGACTCGTCGCCAGAGGACTCCAGTATTGTCCTCAAATCATATAACTTGAATTAGGAATATTTAGTTGATTTTATAGTGTAATTCGTTGGCAGGTTAAGTCACTTCTTTTTTGTCCTTGAGAGACGCCGTGGTCACGTGTCTGTCCAGCCCGTCCTCCTAAGATGTCCCCAACGTGAAGAAAACGGTCAGTTTATAGTAGTCTCTCCTAACCTGCCAGAGGACCCAAAACAGAAAACGGGACAGTACGTCACTTTTCGCCAGCCGCTTCCATTTTCTAGTACGACGATTTTTGGCCGTATGTGACGCCTACGAGCGGAAAGCGACGTTGTGTGTAGGAGGACAGGGTGTAGGAGGACAGGTTGTAGGAGGACAGGTTGTAGGAGGACAGGTTGTAGGAGGACAGGCTGTAGGAGGACAGGCTGTAGGAGGACAGGCTGTAGGAGGACAGGCTGTGGGAGGACAGTCTGTAGGAGGACAGGTTGTAGAAGGACAGGTTGTAGAAGGACAGGTTGTAGAAGGACAGGCTGTGGGAGGACAGTCTGTAGGAGGACAGGTTGTAGAAGGACAGGTTGTAGAAAGACAGGTTGTAGGAGGACAGGCTGTAGGAGGACAGGTTGTAGGAGGACAGGCTGTGGCAGGACAGGTTGTAGAAGGACAGGCTGTAGGAGGACAGGCTGTAGGAGGACAGGCTGTAGGAGGACAGGCTGTAGGAGGACAGGCTGTAGGAGGACAGGTTGTAGGAGGACAGGTTGTAGGAGGACAGGTTGTAGGAGGACAGGTTGTAGGAGGACAGGCTGTAGGAGGACAGGCTGTAGGAGGACAGGTTGTAGGAGGACAGGCTGTAGGAGGACAGGCTGTAGGAGGACAGGTTGTAGGAGGACAGGTTGTAGGAGGACAGGTTGTAGGAGGACAGGTTGTAGGAGGACAGGTTGTAGGTTGTAGGAGGACAGGTTGTAGGAGGACAGGCTGTAGGAGGACAGGCTGTAGGAGGACAGGTTGTAGGAGGACAGGTTGTAGGAGGACAGGTTGTAGGAGGACAGGTTGTAGGAGGACAGGTTGTAGGAGGACAGGCTGTAGGAGGACAGGCTGTAGGAGGACAGGTTGTAGGAGGACAGGTTGTAGGAGGACAGGTTGTAGGAGGACAGGTTGTAGGAGGACAGGTTGTAGGAGGACAGGTTGTAGGAGGACAGGTTGTAGGAGGACAGGTTGTAGGAGGACAGGTTGTAGGAGGACAGGTTGTAGGAGGACAGGTTGTAGGAGGACAGGTTGTAGGAGGACAGGTTGTAGGAGGACAGGTTGTAGGAGGACAGGTTGTAGGAGGACAGGTTGTAGGAGGACAGGTTGTAGGAGGACAGGTTGTAGGAGGACAGGTTGTAGGAGGACAGGTTGTAGGAGGACAGGTTGTAGGAGGACAGGTTGTAGGAGGACAGGTTGTAGGAGGACAGGTTGTAGGAGGACAGGTTGTAGGAGGACAGGCTGTAGGAGGACAGGCTGTAGGAGGACAGGTGTAGTAGGAGGACAGGCTGTAGGAGGACAGGTTGTAGGAGGACAGGTTGTAGGAGGACAGGAGGAGGACAGGCTGTAGCAGGACAGGTTGTAGGAGGACAGGCTGTAGGAGGACAGGTTGTAGGAGGACAGGTTATAGGAGGACAGGTTGTAGGAGGACAGGCTGTAGCAGGACAGGCTGTAGGAGGACAGGTTGTAGGAGGACAGGTTGTAGGAGGACAGGTTATAGGAGGACAGGTTATAGGAGGACAGGTTGTAGGAGGACAGGCTGTAGCAGGACAGGTTATAGGAGGACAGGTTGTAGGAGGACAGGTTGTAGGAGGACAGGCTGTAGGAGGACAGGACAGGTTGTAGGAGGACAGGTTGTAGGAGGACAGGTTGTGTAGGAGGACAGGTTGTAGGAGGACAGGTTGTAGGAGGACAGGTTGTAGGAGGACAGGCTGTAGGAGGACAGGTTGTAGGAGGGACAGGCTGTAGGAGGACAGGTTGTAGGAGGACAGGCTGTAGGAGGACAGGCTGTAGGAGGACAGGTTGTAGGAGGACAGGTTGTAGGAGGACAGGTTGTAGGAGGACAGGTTGTAGGAGGACAGGTTGTAGGAGGACAGGTTGTAGGAGGACAGGTTGTAGGAGGACAGGTTGTAGGAGGACAGGTTGTAGGAGGACAGGTTGTAGGAGGACAGGTTGTAGGAGGACAGGTTGTAGGAGGACAGGTTGTAGGAGGACAGGTTGTAGGAGGACAGGTTGTTGTAGGAGGACAGGTTGTAGGAGGACAGGTTGTAGGAGGACAGGTTGTAGGAGGACAGGCTGTAGGAGGACAGGCTGTAGGAGGACAGGTTGTAGGAGGACAGGCTGTAGGAGGACAGGCTGTAGGAGGACAGGTTGTAGGAGGACAGGTTGTAGGAGGACAGGTTGTAGGAGGACAGGTTGTAGGAGGACAGGTTGTAGGAGGACAGGTTGTAGGAGGACAGGCTGTAGGAGGACAGGTTGTAGGAGGACAGGCTGTAGGAGGACAGGCTGTAGGAGGACAGGTTGTAGGAGGACAGGCTGTAGGAGGACAGGCTGTAGGAGGACAGGTTGTAGGAGGACAGGCTGTAGGAGGACAGGTTGTAGGAGGAGGAGGACAGGTTGTAGGAGGACAGGCTGTAGGAGGACAGGCTGTAGGAGGACAGGTTGTAGGAGGACAGGTTGTAGGAGGACAGGTTGTAGGAGGACAGGTTGTAGGAGGACAGGTTGTAGGAGGACAGGCTGTAGGAGGACAGGCTGTAGGAGGACAGGTTGTAGGAGGACAGGCTGTAGGAGGACAGGTTGTAGGAGGACAGGCTGTAGGAGGACAGGTTGTAGGAGGACAGGCTGTAGGAGGACAGGCTGTAGCAGGACAGGTTGTAGGAGGACAGGCTGTAGGAGGACAGGTTATAGCAGGACAGGTTGTAGGAGGACAGGTTGTAGGAGGACAGGTTGTAGGAGGACAGGTTGTAGGAGGACAGGTTGTAGGAGGACAGGTTGTAGGAGGACAGGCTGTAGGAGGACAGGTTGTAGCAGGACAGGTTGTAGGAGGACAGGTTGTAGGAGGACAGGTTGTAGGAGGACAGGAGGAGGACAGGTTGTAGGAGGACAGGTTGTAGGAGGACAGGTTGTAGGAGGACAGGTTGTAGGAGGACAGGTTGTAGGAGGACAGGTTGTAGGAGGACAGGCTGTAGGAGGACAGGCTGTAGGAGGACAGGCTGTAGGAGGACAGGTTGTAGGAGGACAGGTTGTAGGAGGACAGGCTGTAGGAGGACAGGCTGTAGGAGGACAGGTTGTAGGAGGACAGGTTGTAGGAGGACAGGAGGAGGACAGGTTGTAGGAGGACAGGTTGTAGGAGGACAAATTGACAGGTTGTAGGAGGACAGGCTGTAGGAGGACAGGTTGTAGGAGGACAGGCTGTAGGAGGACAGGTTGTAGGAGGACAGGCTGTAGGAGGACAGGTTGTAGGAGGACAGGTTGTAGGAGGACAGGTTGTAGAGCACAGGCTGTAGGACTTTAAATTATAGAGATAATTAAATAATTAAATTAAATAATTTGCTGTAACCAAATAATTTACAAATTTAACCCCCCCCCCCACACCCAAGTTTGTGGGAATAGTTATACACTTTCATTATACACTCCAATACTTTACATTTAACTAAAACACCAATCAACTTCATTTAATATTTAACTAGAATTCATAAATTCATTAAAATGAAATGAAACTAAATATTTCGTCTATCATTGATTAAAATGACAAAATGGAACTGTAGCCAACTGTAGAGGGAGCCGGTCGGCCGAGCGGACAGCACGCTGGACTCGTGATCCTGTGGTCCTGGGTTCGATCCCAGGCGCCGGCGAGAAACAATGGGCAGAGTTTGTTTCACCCTATGCCCCTGTTACCTAGCAGTAAAATAGGTACCTGGGTGTTAGTCAGCTGTCACAGGCTGCTTCCTGGGGGTTGGAGGCCTGGTCGAGGACCGGGCCGCGGGGACACTAAAGCCCCGAAATCATCTCAAGATAACACTCAATAAGATGTTCATTACTCACTATCTGTATCACTGTGACCGAAACGTTTGTGCCGAGAACACAAGTCTGTTATCTGAACATTCGTTTTGAGCATCGATATCTGAATATACATATTTATGTAGGTGTATGCTAAATTATGTGTATGTTAAGTTGGACATGCTGTATGCTGCAACATGGTTAGGAGGGGGGTGATCCCCCCCCTCCAAGGGCAGCATAGGGGCTGACCCCTGACCCCTTGTGAGTCTCTAGGGGGTCACCACTCACAGTTGTGTGGGACTAGCCCATAGCGTCTGGCTTCCAGCCTCGGAGAAACTAACCGACTTTCTCATTTATAGATAGATGGGGGTGTCCGGCGGTGCCCGGGGTCTCTGTCTGCCCCTTTTTCCTCCATCTCTCCCATTCTGCCGTCTTCACATTCTCTCACCCTCCCTCCTATTCCCTTCTCTCCCTCCCTGCTGGTCGCTCCCATTGGACCAAATATGTTTTAGTTCATTGAAATCAGCGTTGTAGACGCTAATTCAAAGTCGGTAACGGCTGAACAATTGTACAACACATTATGGACAATGACCCTCGTATCTCAGGCTTTATGATGGGTTTGTTGTCGCAATGGGGTCCAGTCCTACCCTAAAGGGGGGCATGGGGATCCTTCCCATGTCGCAATGGGGTCCAGTCCTACCCTAAAGGGGGGCATGGGGATCCTTCCCATGTCGCAATGGGGTCCAGTCCTACCCTAAAGGGGGGCATGGGGATCCTTCCCATGTCGCAATGGGGTCCAGTCCTACCCTAAAGGGGGGCATGGGGGTCCTTCCCAACGAGCCATGCAAAGCTTGGTGAGATGTTTATATGCTCTGAAATGCTCTTGAAAATGTTTATATGCTGGTTAGCATTGTAAATGTGTGGCCACGTCTGTGGTAGAAAATAATGAAAAAAAAAAAAAAAAAAAAAAAGCTTGGTGAGGCTTGCCACACAGGTCTGTCTGCCCTCTAACCTTGAAGAGACAGACAGACAGACAGACACAGACGCAGACATTCTCATATAATACATGTTACTTATACATGTTAAGTTTCCATGTATAACTCCTCCCATACTGGCTGTAATTGTATTTTCCTCTCGTGTTCTGAAGTGTATAATTAATTAGTGTTTTATCTTGCTTGAAGAATGTGTAATAACAGGGGGGCCTCGTAGCCTGGTGGACAGCGCGCAGGACTCGTAATTCTGTGGCGCGGGTTCGATTCCCGCACGAGGCAGAAACAAATGGGCAGAGTTTCTTTCACCCTGAATGCCCCTGTTACCTAGCAGTAAAATAGGTACCTGGGAGTTAGTCAGCTGTCACGGGCTGCTTC